AACTTAAAATTTCCATTGATTTCCTTTTCCACATCACTCATCCGTCATCTGCGATTCCTTGCCCTTAGTGGCCTTCTTGCTTTTTTTCTTCAAAAACTCACTCTTATCCAAATTATTCTGGAAGAATGTAGTTTCTTTACGCGCTTGCGATACTTCGGTGTTCAGACGTTGTTTATGTACGGCTTGCTCGTAGTTCATGCGCTCGGTAAGATGCACCCACTTAAAGCGTGGTAAATATTTCATGCTCCACAGATAGTCATAGAATTGCGACTTTTTACGGGTGGAAATTTGTTTATTATTTAAAAGCTCAACAATTTGTTTGGCAACGCGCTTTGATTCGAATTCAACCCAACCTTCTGTAAAGTGTCGTGCAATACGTTTGCGTTTCTTCTTTTTATCGTTGTCTGCAAGTAGGTGAAATTGTGTAGCGTTATAAAGTTTACATATTACTTAAAATACTTACTGCCGGGCAGCTTTTCGGGCTGTAAATATACGCGTCCGATTTTGCCATATTCTCCTAATATTTCACGTATTCGTGTAACGTTCATGTGTTTGGGGATATTCGATACGTAAATGATGCCCTTCTTGCGTTTCTTTTTTGGTTTCACACTGAAGTTGCCCAAGTCCATCTCGTCGTCGTCTTCATCTGTACCATCATTTTTGACTATTGTAGGTTGCATGCTACCTGCGCACATGTTATCTTCCGAGTTCACAGCTTCTGAGCTCGCCGACTGTTCCTTTGGTGAATCTTGCATGTCGTCGTCTTGTGGCATTTCTTCCAATTCTTCTGGGGGTGGTGGTGGTGGCGGAAGACCACTGCGACGTTGCTTTTGTTTCATTTTAACAACCATTTCGTTTATTTAAGTTAAATTTGAAAACGTTTGAAAGAAAAAACAAAAAACTGCACGCGTCGAAAACCAAAACAAATTTGACAGCTGATCGTTAGGGGTGCCAGTGCAGAGAAAATGAAAAAGTCTTTAATACTGTGGCGAATACTGCGGCAACACAAAGCGAACAACGAGAAATAGGCA